TATTTGAACATGGCTATCATATCACCCCTTAACCTCCTCTTCTCCAGGCTAAACATGCCCAGCTCCCTTAGCCGTTCCTCATAAGGCATCGTTTCCAGGCCTTTGATCATTTTGGTTGCCCTCCTCTGGACACGTTCCAGTTTGTCAGTGTCCTTCTTGAATTGTGGTGCCCAGAACTGGACACAGTACTCCAGGTGAGGTCTGACCAGAGCAGAATACAGTGGCACTATTACTTCCCTTGATCTAGATGCTATACTCCTATTGATGCAGCCTAGAATTGCATTGGCTTTTTTAGCTGCCGCGTCACACTGTTGGCTCATGTCAAGTTTGTGGTCAACCAAGACTCCTAGATCCTTTTCACATGTACTGCTCTCAAGCCAGGTGTCCCCCATTTTGTATTTGTGTCTCTCATTTTTTTTGCCCAAGTGCAATACTTTACATTTCTCCCTGTTAAAATTCATCTTGTTTGTTTTTGCCCAGTTCTCTAAACTGTCAAGGTCGTTTTGAAGTGTGATCCTGTCCTCTGGGGTGTTTGCCACCCCTCCCAGTTTGGTGTCATCTGCAAATTTGATCAGGATGCCCTTGAGTCCATCATCCAAGTCGTTGATAAAGATGTTGAATAAGACCGGGCCCAAGACAGAACCCTGTGGCACCCCACTAGTCACTCTTCTCCAGGATGAAGAGGAACCATTGATGAGCACCCTTTGGGTTCGGTCAGTCAGCCAGTTACAAATCCACTGAGTGGTAGCATAGTCAAGACCGCATTTTACCAGCTTCTTTACAAGAATATCATGGGGCACCTTGTCAAATGCCTTGCTGAAATCAAGGTAGGCTACATCCACTGCGTTCCCTTCATCTACCAGGCTTGTAATTCTGTCAAAAAACGAGATCAGGTTAGTCTGACATGACTTATTTTTCAGAAATCCATGCTGACTATTGGTGATCACAGCATTCCTTTCTAGGTGCTCACAGACTGTTTGCTTAATGATCTGCTCCAGAATCTTCCCTGGTATTGATGTCAGACTGACTGGGCGGTAATTATTTGGGTCCTCTCTTTTCCCCTTTTTGAAAATAGGGACAACATTTGCCCTCCTCCAATCTGCCGGGACTTCGCCTGTTCTCCAGGAATTCTCAAAGATGACTGCCAGTGGTTCTGAGATCACATCTGCCAGTTCTTTTAATACTCTTGGATGCAGTTCATCTGGCCCTGGAGACTTGAATACATCTAAACTAGCCAAGTATTCTTGTACTATCTCCTTAGTTATTCTGGGCTGTGTTTCCTTTGCTGAATCATTTGCTCCAAATTCTTCAGGTTGGGCATTGTTTTCTTTATCGGAGAAGACTGAGGCAAAGAAGGCATTGAGGAGTTCAGCCCTTTCTGTGTCCCCTGTTTGCATTTCACCATCTTCTCCTCTGAGTGACCCCACTGTTTCTTTGTTCTTCCTTTTGCTACGGACATACCCATAAAAGCCTTTTTTGTTGCTTTTAACCTCTCTAGCAAGCCTGAGTTCATTCTGTGCTTTAGCTTTCCTGACTTTGTGTCTACACGTGCTGGCTATTTGTTTCGAATTCCTCTTTGGTGGTTTCCCCCCTTTTCCATTTTTTGTACACATCCTTTTTTAATCTTAACTCAGTTAAAAGTTCTTTAGATAGCCACCCTGGCTTCTTTAGGCACCTTCCATGTTTCTGTCTCATTGGTATTGCCTGAAGTTGTGCTTTTACTATCTCCCTCTTAACAAACTCCCAGCCATCATGAACTCCCTTTCCTTTTAGTATTACTGTCCATGGGATCTCACCCAGCACTTCCCTAAGTTTTATGAAGTCGGCTTTCTTAAAGTCAAGAAATTGAGTCCTAGTATGCTTGGCTGCTCCTTTCCGCTGTATAGTAAACTTCAGAAGAGCATGATCACTCGTGCCTAATGATCCTTCCACTTCTACCCCACTAACCAGGTCATCAACATTGGTTAGGACGAGATCTAAAATGGCTGTTCCTCTTGTTGCTTCTCCCACTTTCTGGACAATGAAGTTGTCTGCAAGGCCAGTGAGGAATCTGTTTGACCTTATGCTCTTGGCTGAGTTTGACATCCAACAAATATCCGGGTAATTGAAGTCCCCCATTACTACTATCTCCCTTCCTTTTGCATGCTTGGCCATCTGTTCCAGGAAGGCATCATCTATGTCCTCCGTTTGGCTTGGGGATCTATAGTAAACTCCCACAATGAGGTCTCTGTTATTCTTCTCTCCCTTAATTTTGACCCAAATGCTCTCACTTTGGCTTTGAGGTTCTAAATCTTGGATCTCTTCACAGGTATACACATCCCTGACATATAACGCCACTCCTCCCCCTTTCTTGTCTGGTCTGTTTCTCTTAAATAGATTGTATCCCTCCATTATTACATTCCAATCATGGGACTTATCCCACCAGGTTTCAGTGATGCCTATTATGTCATATTTCGTTTGCTGTACCAAGAGCTCAAGCTCATCTTGTTTATTTCCCATGCTTTGCGCATTAGTGTACAGACATTGAAGTCCATTAATCATTCCCCCGTGTCTCTTATTTAAGGATTTTTTCCTCCCACCACTAGGTCTGCATGCTGTTTGCTCCATTTGGTCTATGACATTTGGATGATCATCTTCATCAATTGATAGACTCCTACCTTCAGGAGCATTGTCTCCCTCCCCCACATTAGTCAGTTTAAAGCCCTCCTGATGAGGTTTCTGAGATTTTTGGCAAAAACATTCCTCCCAACCGTTGTGAGGTGCAGCCCATCGCTTGCCAGAAGTCCATCTTCAAGAAACTGCAGTCCGTGATCTAAGAATCCAAACCGTTCCTGTTTACACCATTTGCGAAGCCAGCTGTTCACTTCCACTATTTTTCCCTCTCTCCCTGGGCCACGTCGTTCAACTGGGAGGACAGATGAGATGACAATTTGTGCATTTAGTTGCTTCAATTTCCTGCCGAGAGCCTCGTAGTCTCTTTTGATCTTCTGGAGGCTATTGCTTGCAGTGTCATTGGTTCCCACATGAACCAAGAGGAAGGGGTATTTGTCAGTGGGTTTTATGATTCCTTGCAGTCGTTCAGTTACATCTTGGATCTTAGCCCCGGGGAGACAGCACACTTCCCGAGACATCTTGTCAGGCCCACAGATCACTGCTTCTGTTCCCCTCAGTAGGGAATCCCCTATCACCACTACACGCCTCCTCTTAGGTTTGGTCGGGGTTCTTCCGTGAGCTGTCCGTTCCAAGGTCGCCTGCACATTCCCTGAGGACTGACTTTGCTGGTCGTCTTCATATACCTGATCGACTGTAATGAGGGAGAGATCCTCAAATGGAGTCTGCTCTTCGTCTTCCATGCTAGGGGAGAGGACCTCAAAGCGATTGCGTATTTCTAAACAATCAGAGCGAACCCTGGGCCTCCTACTTCTTTGAGTCACGTTTCTCCATATATCTGGCTCCTGTGTTGGTGAGCTAGCCTCCTTCACAGGGGAGTCCCCTGTCTCCTCCTTGGTGGAGACGGTGTGCTCTGTTGCTTCCAAGAAGAGCTCCAGCTCTCTAATTCTTTGGAGCGTAGCTACACGTTCCTCCAGTTGCTGGACTTTGTCTTTTAAGAGAGCAATCAACATGCAATTGCTGCAGGTAAAGCTGCCTGCAATCTTTGGCAAGATGGCAAACATTGCGCAGGAACCGCAGGCGACTGCAGCTGTTCCCTCCTCCTCCATCTTGAGTACGTGTCGTTGGGGGTGGCTACAGCGGTCCTCCATCATAAAAAGTGTGAAGACAGGACAAATAACTCCCCACACACACAAAAAAACCCTAGGTCTCCCCCAACAAACGTTTGAGACTAGCTCCCCTAAATCTAAAAGATGGATCAAACTGCCCTAAAGCCGAAGAATGGATGCTTTTGAATTCTGGTGCTGGAGGAGACTCTGGAGAGTCCCATGGACTGCAAGAAGATCAAAGCTATCCATTCTGAAGGAAATTAGCTCTGAGTGCTCACTGGAAGGACAGATCCTGAAGCTGAGGCTCCAAGACTTTGGCCACCTCATGAGAAGAGAAGACTCCCTGGAAAGGACCCTGATGCTGGGAAAGATGGAGGGCACAAGGAGAAGGGGACGGCAGAGGACGAGATGGTGGGACAGTGTTCTCGAAGCTACCAGCATGAGGGAGGCAGTGGAAGACAGGAGGGCCTGGCGTGCTCTGGTCCATGGGGTCACGAAGAGTCGGACACGACTAAACGACTCAACAACAACAATACAAAACACAAAAAAAGGTTGTAAAGGGGAGAAAATCCCCGCTGAGGTTAATGGAATTCTGTTGCAGCCAAGAATGAGAAATATACCCCCTGCAAATTCCCATTCTTCTCGAGGCACAGAGGGCAGCCTGACTGCAGGGGCAGGTGGAAAAGCCCCGTCAGGGGCAAGAAAGGCTCGGAACCCACTCAGGTCAGCACATGGGAAAGAGCAAGGGAACCCAGGAAGTGGTCTTATACAGAGTCAGACCATTGGTCCATCTTGCTGAGTACTGTCAACACTGACTGGCAGCAGCAGGTTTCCAGGATTTGAGGCTGGAGCTTCCCAGTCCTGCCAGGAAATGCCTTTGGGGATTGAACCCAGGACGTTCTGCTTGCAAGGCAGGCACTCTCCCACTGTGCCATGGGGAGCAGCAGCCTCAGAAGGACAAGGGACAGAGCAGGGGCAGTCCCTGGGGTGAAGGGGCCGGCAACAGGGCAGGGAAGGAATGGGGATGTTTTATTGTATTTTCAGTACTTTGTTGGGAGCCACCCAGAGTGGCTGGGGAAACCCAGGCAGACAGGCGAGGTATAAATAAATAAATTATTATTATTATTATTATTATTATTATTATTATTATTATTATTATTATCACACAGCATGGCCTGAGCCTGCCTTGGGCGCTCCTGTAGCAAAACCCAGCCCTCTTGTCCATCTCCTGGCGCACGTCACCCAGCCCCCCCCCCCCCGGGCACGCGGAAGAAGCCTTACGTTCACACTCCGCCACATCCAGGTTGAACTGCTGCAAGGCTCCCAGCGAGAGCTGCCGGACTTCGGCTTCCAAGAGCAGCTGGGTCAGCGAAGTGGCCAAGTGCTTGCAGGCAGACATGCAGGCCGTCTGAGCCACCTTGCCCTGGAAAGCAAAACGGGGAAGAACGTCAGAAGGGCTGTCAAAGAGGGCAAGATCTCCAAACGGGGGAAAGGGGGAACTGGGGGGGGCGACAGAGATAAGGAAGGTGTGCACAGAACCACACAAGCCTTTCTCAACCAGTTCCGGGAGAGATTTGCCGGTGGCATCAGCCCCGACTTGGCCTGGCCATGATGACCTGCAGTCGCTGGCAGGTTCAGCCAAGGCAGATTCAGTTCCTTGACACAAGGCAGGGTTAAAACATGTTACAAAAAGTGTTTTCTCGCCAAGCCTGAGGACACAGGAAGGGTTTCTTTCCTCTCCTGCATAAAACCCTGGCATGATACAGAATAGGAAATGCTTTCTCATACACATAAGATGATTGTGTAAACCAGCCCAGAGGGTGATGGGATCAAAGTGAGATTCCCAAACTGGGAATCAGCGTGAGCTTGTATTGAATTGTATTAATAGCTCGAACGATTTGCTTTCCCCCTGCTTTATTTAAATGCTACTGTGCTTCTGATATTATCATTATTATAGCAATCACAATGTTTGCTGACTTTTCAATGCAAATGGTGTTAATAGGAGCCATCCTGAGAGCAACCATTTGTTCCTGGAAATTAAAATTTGTTACTGCGAATATTAAATCAAAATCAACTTGCAAATTTCGCATCAATGTTTAAGGTTTCTTAAGGAGTTCGGGTTTCACTGGAAAGGTCACCATGGTTTGTTCGGGTTTTTTCACTGCAGACTACATTTCCCATGATGCTGTTGCAGTTAACTCTTGTCTGGAAGGAACCTGTGCCCTGCAAATTCCGTAACTACTTTTGGCTTTCATCAATGTAGCTTGCTATAGAAATGACACCTCCCATTCAAAGCAGGTAAGGGAGCCTAATAGTAAGCTTTAAGAAACATTTAAAATTGCTGAAAATTTAGAGAGAAATGGAGCAACAATGTGGGAAGTCTGCTGCCAGAAAGAAAGAAAGAAAGAAAGAAAGAAAGAAAGAAAGAAAGAAAGAAAGATGGAATAGCACTTAAGTTTGGCCCTGCAAGATTAACTGCTCCATTCCACTTCCAGGTACATTCTGGTAAGAGCTGCCACTGAAGCCTAGTAGCCCCCCGAGTTGGCAGCAATATTTGGGCAGCTCCCCACAAAGTGTCTTGGGAGGCCCTGGGCACCGTCCACTTGCGAGTGTCTGAATTCTCCCTGCCCTATCCATCAATCCTCCATGGGTAATTAATTAATTGTGAAGCCTGGGGGGAAATAACACGAAGGAAGGGGTAATTATCCCCTTAGAAACCCATGCAAAGAGAGACGCTGGAGGGGAAATACCCAAAGCAAGATGTGCAAAGCCGGCGAGGCTGCTCACTTTGGCTGAGTTTTCAAGAGCAGCAGATTACATGCACCCACAGCTAGAGTCTGAATGGGAAAAGATGCACCCTGACCTCTACACACACACCGCTGAGCAGGAGACAGGCTGCCACATTCCTGAGATGCGATGTCTTTTGGGAAAGGAAGAGCGCACAGCCTCCCTGAGTTTCTGGTCCCCGCCTGGAAAGACCCTTGAGATTTCTCAGGCTCTGAAGCTGGAAGCAGCTCCCTGCGCTGGCCATCTCAACAGCTTTCCCTTCACTCTGCAAGGGAGCAGCACAAGAGGCCTTCACTTTCTTTATTATTAAATAAGAGAAACACCCCACTCCTCTGGGTGAACACTTCAGATCAGAGAAAGCTGGAGAAAGTTTTAATCTCCGCATACTCTATTACTAGAGGGATGCGGGTGGCGGTGTGGGTTAAACCACAGAGTCTAGGGTTTGCAGATCAGAAGGTCAGCGGTTCGAATCCCTGCGATGGGGTGAGCTCCCGTTGCTCGGTCCCTGCTCTTGCCAGCCTAGCAGTTTGAAAGCACATCAAAGTGCAAGTAGATAAATAGGTCCCGCTCTGGCAGGAAGGTAAACGGCGTTTCCGTGCGCTGCTCTGGTTCGCCAGAAGCGGCTTAGTCCTGCTGGCCACATGACCCGGAAGCTGTACGCCGGCTCCCTCGGCCAATAAAGTGAGATGAACGCCGCAACCCCAGAGTCAGTCATGACTGGACCTAATGGTCAGGGGTCCCTTCACCTTTTTACTCTATTGCTGCATCTTATGCTATATTTTGGCCTTGGGACTCTTTTAAATACCAAGCATTCAATGCAAACAACAACAACAAAAGTAAGGAGTAGGCATCTCAATGAGTTTAAAAAACAAGCAGAATACATTTATCTGTCCCTCTTGGACACACCGGGAGGATGAAAAGGGTGTCTCTCACCCTTTCAACCTCTGGTTTTCAGTGGTGGAAGCTCCAGCCCCCCGTCCCCAATGCAACCGTCCGCAGAAGGTGGTGGAAGTTGCTGCTTAGCCTGGGTTAAGGAACCCAAGGCTCCAGAGGTACCTGGCAGCAAGGTGCCAAAGAGATCCATCAACCGGAACAGCTGTTTGCTGTTTCCTGAAACATTAGAAATAACCCTCAAATGAAGGGGACGCAGACAGGAGCAGGGGCTGATTTGTGCCCCCTGTGAAGCTGGCTTGTCCATATCAGATAAGCAGGCTGCAAAATACACACAGCCTGGTACATTTACAACCCCTGAGATGGTTATCCTTGAAAGAAGCAGGCATTTCCGGCATCTGATGGGCGAGGCTCGGAGGCCACAATATGGCAGCTAGCCTCTCAAAAGGGCCACAAAACTCTTCTGATCTTGTTGCTACAGAATGCCAGAATCCAACGCTTTGAAGTTTATTCTTAATGCTAATGACGCCTTGCGGGAAGAGAACAACCACCTTTAATTATCCTTGCTACTTACGACGGCGTTTTGGAGGAACACCCCTTCCCCCGCCTCTTTGCCAGGTAAAATGAACAGTTTATTCTGCAGACGCATAATACCATCTCATCCCAGAAAGCCCGAGAACGGTATGAAGCGAGTTGTTTGGAAAGCAAAAAAGGAAAACGACTCTTTATTCTCTTTCAGTGAAAGGAGACTGTACGTGAACCGAGTAATCCCAAAAGTCCCCTGCCGTTCCAATTCAGAACAGGACCGGACAGGCTTGGAGATCAACATGGGAAAAGAAAGCTTTGGGGGGGGGCAGGAGCTCCATGTCAGACCCAGGCCAATAAAGGACACGCCAAGAGGGAAGGCTGTGGGGCGGCTGGACTCCAATTCTCACCAAATGGGCCCTGATAGGTGAGGCTGGAGGGAGCGGAGTCCAGTCTGGAGTCCAGTCTGGAGGCCACCACAATAGCCACCCCTGACTTCTTATGAGCTTTGGGATCTTTGGAGGGGGAGAGGAATATCTGGTGATCCCGCAACTCATGTCGTCACCCCGGCTTATTCTCGCCTGTGCTTCAAATCTGTTCACAGACTCCGTTTTCCTTATCAAACGCTTTCTCCCGGACCACAACACTTAACGAATCACAGAAGTACGGAGTTCGGAAGGACCCCAAGGGTCATCCAGTCCACCTCCTGCAAAACAGGAGCTGACGCTAAATAACTCTTGACTAGGAGCAATACTTTTTTTTGCTGTGTACGGAGGCAGGAGTCTGGCAGAAGGGAGGACAGTGCTTCTGGAGACAAGAAAGGGGGATGGCACAGAGACTGTGGAAGAGCTAAGGAACGGGCAGCCTTCACGGTTAACAGAGGAAAAGCTGGTGGAGAAAATGGCAGGGGCCCCCGAAACCCTGTTTTCTGGTAGCGTATCTGAAGAAATGCATCAAAAGCTGATGTTTTACAACAAATTACAGAAGCCACCAGGTTACTGGGGCTTGATGGCATTGGCCCAAGAACTTAAAAAAAAATCTCCCATGTGAATCTGACAGACTATTAGCTTAAATCAGCCTCATTAGCATAAGCCTCATTAGCAGAGGACTGGAAGGTAGCTGGCATGGGCATCATTGGAACAATAATACATATATATTTAGAAGAATCTGGGTTAGAGTGGGGGTCAGGAAATTACAATCTTATCACCCTACATTCTTAAAGGCTAGACTTGTCAAACTGATTGGCAGGACAGGCAAATGAAAGGTCTTCACAAAGCGTGCAGTAAATTCACAGAATCTGCTGCCACAGGACGTGGCGGCGGCTGCTCTAATCCATGGAGGAGAAGGCTCTGAACAACTACAGTGGTTATGGTCGCTATCAACAACCTCCAGGTTCAGAGGCTGCATCCTACCCACCCCCACCCCTACCCAAGTCCCTACAGGAGAGGGTTGTGCCCACCTGCAGGGACAAAGCTGGATATGGGAATGCCCCAGGACTGTATCCCTGCCCTCATAGGAAGTCAGCCAGGGGAGTCTTTCGTTGTCCTCTTATGCATCTCAACGGCTGTGCAACTCGGTGCTTGAAAGAGGCAGCACATTTCTTCTGACGCTGAGAAGGAGGTGGGGGGACGTTGACAAAAGGATGACATACCCGCCCCAGTTGTGGTTTCTGGCACCCTGTGCACAAATCACTGTGAAAAACCAGGCTGGTAGGCCAGCATTTCTTGCTGTGTGTGGAGTGTTTTATGAGCTTCTGCGTTTGGGACCTTGCTTAGCTTTCTGGCAGGATCCACAGCTGGCCAAATGTTCCACCATGTCCCTGCTTTCTATGCTTTGCAAACATCCACGTGGGCCTATTACTCACCTCGAAGCTTTGGAAGCACAGCGCCCTTGGGCTCAGCATGCGGGGGGGGGGAGGAAGACCCACGAAGAAGAGGCACCACCTCATCCATCACTCAGGCCCTTATTCCAGCAGGCTCCCTTCCTCAAAGCGCTGCTACATTCCATTTCTCGCAGGCAAAGAGAAGTGCGAAGGGCAAAGCTATTTCACAGAGTGACAGGATAACATTCCTGGCCAGCTGCCCTTGGCCTGCTGCTCCCGTACCAACTCCCATTTCCAGGGCCAGAATAAGGAGGACAGGCAACAAGCGGCCGGTCCGAGGAGGAGCACAGGAGACTGAGCTGTGCAGTAGCAGGGTCAAGAGGGCCACTGTGAAGCCC